GCCAGCCTTGCAGACAAAGCTTGCTCCTGAGCCCAGCCACAGCCCTCAGCATGGGCTTACAGACCCACTTGTGGAGACAGTGAATCCCCATGTTGCCAGCCCCTGCCCAGATCCAGTGACGGACAGGAGGTCTGCCTTCTGCCACCACTGTCAGTCTCTCCTGTTGATTCCCTGCTGTGTATCCCTGCATTAGGCAACACAGCCTAATATTTCATTATTTTATTTTTTATTATTTTATTAATATTTTCATTGAAGCAGTTTAGTTTTTTCTAAACTCATAAATCTCTTTATCTCTCTCCCTCCTCTCCTTAGAGAGAGAGATGGGGAGAGCATCTGTCATTCATTTTCATTGACCAGTCCAGCCCAAACCATGACAAGGTGCTACTCCAATGTAAATATCGCACTCCTACTCAGGACCAGCTATCACACCAGCTCCAATACACAGGACAATCCCTATCCTTCCATCAACACTCACAGTATACTTTGACTTTTCTCTTTCGTAATGCAGCTATTAATTTTGGTTTGAAGAACCTCAGATACTTTTCCCATCCCCTCTGACCTGCTCATCGTCCTCCATTGCACCACCACATAAGCTCAGAAGCTAGCACCGGCAGCCTCCACATCCTCCTCAAGGAAAACAAGGACAAACATGAAAGCAACATGCTGAGGAAAGGGCAGTATATAAGTCCCCAGCAGGTGAAAAGTGGTGGGGGCCTGGCATGTCACCCATTTGGCAGGGCATTTATTGATTTGTTTCTGTTCAAATTATCACTTGCAGCACCAGTCGTTTGAAAAAGCCAATGCTTAGTCGCATTCTCTGATTCTGGTCCACAAATAAGATGCTGCCATTGCTTGTGAAAGGTCACAGCTCCATGATGAGCTCGTGGCACAGGCATCAGGACTTGTCAAGCTTTTTCTGTGCTTTGTTTAGCTATAAAAACAATTATCTAATGACCTGATGTCTACTACTGACTTTGTTTTAGCTTTTGCTTTGCTTTATCCAATTGCACGGTGAAATGTTTACTGCTATATGTGCTTTCTGTAACTAATAGACAGTAACAGCAGGTAGCTACTCTGTGTAGAATGAACTATTTATGACCCCAAAACAAAATGTAGCATAAAGGATTGGTTGCATGGAATGATAACAGGGGCCCTGGCAGTACAGGTGTAGGATGATGTCGGAGGCCCCAGGCTACAAATAGCTCATCAGTGGTTAATTACTGGTCATCAGAGGGTGCAACCTTAGCAGGTGGGTAAGACAAATTCTAAGATGTAACAAAGGAGAACAAACAACGAGTACACAACACATGTAAAATGCATTACATATAGCAAATTTGGATCTACTGTGGAGTTCTGGATGAAGGAGGAAAGAACAAGATGTGGAGAGTATTAGTAAGCATGTAAAAATGACCTTTGATGGATCATACCATAAGAAGGAAGAAATTTTCAGTTGCACTTATCCCAGCAAAGAGGAAGAAAAACTCTCTCCACTAATGTCAGACTCTGCTTGCTGGAGGACACCGATTACTTGCTGTTACGCATGCCCTCATGTCAGACTGAAGCCATAAGAGGGGCAGTGTAGTGCTGCACATGAGCAGAGAAAAGGGAGTATGATAGAAAGTTTATGTGTACGAGTTTTGCCTGATATAATTTGGACTGTGTCAGTATCATTGTAAGAAAAACACAAGAATATAGTTTCATCACCTAATTATCTCAGCTAATACTAATTCTTTGATTAGACTCTTTTTAATAAGACTAACAATATATTCTTCCTAGATTTGCACATAAAGTGTGCTTCCTTTTGCCCATAACAAGATTTTGAATTTGACAAATTGATGGGAGTTGAAGAAACCTGCTCCATAGCTTGGATGTAACAAGTTGGTAACGAATGAGGTGTGCTTTCAGGAGCCCACAGACTTTTGTTTGTACTTCTCTGAGCTGCTGGAGTGTGGGATCTGTGGAGGCAGGGGTTTGGTTTTGGACTTTTTACTCCCCAGTCCATGTCCAAGATGTGGCGGATGGTTTGACACAAGTTCACCCCACTCAAAAAAGACCCTCAGCTGAAGAGTTTGACCTCCAACTTTTTTCAGGTTTGAGGATCCTCCAGATCTGGCATTGCCAATCTGACCTTATTATTGATTGATTATTTCCTATGTGTACATATAGTGCTGTCACAGCACTCACTACTTCTTCAGCCTGATTTTACACATGGTTCATGCAACAGCCCATCCACAGGGTGATGAGTGGCTGAAATCCTAGAGGCCATCCTCATTTTGTCCTTAGGTTTTTGCGAGCAAGTCTGTACAGAGTGAGCGGGCTGGTGGTGCCAAGGGCTGTTGACATCCCTGGCCTCTATTCCCAGTCCTCACTTCTCTTTGCTTCAATACACTCCTTTAGAAACTATCAATAAAAATACTTCCTGTCTCCTGGTGAACATCATTCAGCTTAATGACTCTTAGTAAAATGCCTTGAAATATGTAGCTGAGAGAAGCACACTTTAGAAGTGGGTTTCATTAGGAGCATACTGGTCACTCAATGGGCTCTGACATGTTAAAGCAATTTCCAGGGGAATCTGGTGATTCTCTTTGCTGGCACTGTGATGTGCTCTGGAAATTGTCACTGCCTCCAGTGCATTAGGTAGTCAGTTGTTAAAACTGAATGAAAAACAAAGGCATGTAGTTAAACTGTGCCTGTAAATAGTTGCTTGTTTGTTTGTTTTTCAAATAAAGATAGGGTTTCCTCCTTAGCACCAAAAAAAAGGCACCTTTATTAGCATGGCTGAGAAATAATTTTTTTAACTTTGATAATTAAGATGCAGCAAGTGGTTATAGTGCTGCTATGTAGGAGAAGTGATTGATCAAAATACAGAACACGACGCAAGTACAATCAGACATGCTTTATTTCAAATTCTTGTTACACTGTGGTTATAAAAAGTCTGGAATAGAAAGCAGGTTTATATGCAAGAGCAAAAAATGGATAATTTTATTAGATTATGTATACTCCAGTAGGACTGCTACTTAACAGAGATTGTCACCTTGCATTTACAACACACTGTTCAGTCCCTTGTACCCCAGAGGACTTATTTGGGAGACTTTGACACTGCAGAGTTTCTACTGTGGTCACATAAGCTGTACAAAATGAGCCCGTGCCCATGCCTGAAGTGAAAGCTCCCAAAAGTCTGGTGTTCCCAGATCCAGGGGTACTCATTGAGCATATGAGGTGGTGTGAATCTTTGCTTTGTTCCACATACTTCAGCAAAAAAAGCAGCCTGTGTTTTTCCTCTCCCAGGACTTCCTTATTTTTAACAGCTGGTCACAGGTTTTGTAGGAGGCAATGTGTGGCAAGCAGAGGATCAGAAAGCAAGTCATCTCTCTTGCTTTCTCACTAATGAGACCACAAAATGACACAGCCATGCACAGCACAATAAAGCCTCCTCGTTTAATGAGCATGAGGCTTCTTTTAACTTCTTTGGAAGCTCAGTTAGCTCACCTGTGCTGTTAGTAAGGGACATACTCTTACACACTGTGGCCAGTGGAGAGGAGTTGCCGCAGCTTGTGGCACGTGCATCTTTGCCTCATGGAAAAAGATCCCGAGAAGGATTTCAGGGGAGATGAGAAATGAACACACACATACCTTCCTGCTGCCCTAGCACAGTGGGGTCCATGGCTTAGGATGGAACAGTACCCTGCATGGAAGACTAATGGAAACCACACATTCAGAGCAGCTTCTGGGTCAGAAGGTCCTCAGGGGACCAGCGATGCCTTGGGACGCCCCGCTGCACTGCACAGAGGAATATGCTGTGAGAAAGGCAGGAAGCAGATCCAGCTTGTGGATTTCTTACTCTCAGGATACACCTTTATTCCTTTTGCAGCTGAGTTTCCTCCATCCCTATATCTTCCTGGGGTTGCTCGTGTAACAGGACTTCATTCTGCAGTAGCTGTCATTCCCAGGAAACTTTCAGGCATGGTTTAGTCTACACTCATCCCCAGGTGGTGGCTCCAGTGCAGGATATTTGCTAGGCTTGTGAGGCTGGCAGGAGAAGACCCTCACGCTGCCTCCTCCACTCCTCTCTCATTCACCCCATTTACCAGATGGCAGAGTCTGGACTTCTCTCGGGCAGGGAACACCCCAACACTCACAGAGACATGTAGGAAATGGGGCTACAGGGTGGGTTCAGGAGAGAAGAAAATGCAGAAAAGGATGAAGAGCGACCACACCATACAAAGAGATGTGACCAGGAAATGCAAGCTTGGTATGATGAACTCGGAGCAGGGGCATGAAAAACTCTGGATTTTCATCAAGCAGAGGAGAGGAACAGCGTATCAACAGTATATGGGGTGGGATGAGGGCAGGAAATAACGGAGTGAGTATATGTGGGTGCCTGCGCACGTGGAAGAGTAAATGAAAAAACATGGGAAAGCAGCAAGAGGAAGCAAGGATCTGGGAATATTCTGAAGATAACACATCCTGAGAGATTCTTCCAGCAAAGCGAGCTCTCTGTGAACTGGGAAATTATAACATTATAAGATAAAGCAGTCCCTTTAGCTAGAAATACCTGTTTTTATTGAAGCCTGAATGATCTACCATAAGGTTGTATAATTCAGTCTAGGAATTTATAACTCTGGTTCTTTTTTTCTCCTTTTCAGTGAAATATCAGGCCTTAATTAAAACTAAAGTTCAGGCTACTTTGGTGAATGGAGCTTTCCAGATTCCCTTGCAGCGCTAATACAAAAGACCATAAATACAAGTGAACTATAGAAATAATATGGCCTAGAATTGCCTTTAATTATGCATATCTCATTTTAAATCATTCACTATCCAGGTGTTTTTTAAAATTCTTCTCAGTGTTACTGATTACTTTTCTTTACCAAATTTTGTTCAGCACAAGGATGACCAAATTAACAATAAGTAGATTTCTAACTCTTTTTTTTTTTTTTTTTTCCCCTCAAATTTGATATTTTGAAATATAGCTGAATGAGGGACAAAGGCAGCACCCTTGTTCATGGTTTCTGAATCTGGACATTCAGTTCTCCATACACATGCCTCAAAGCATCACAATTCAGGCTTGCAATCAGCTTTCGTAACCCTGGTCGTTTGGGGATGCATTTTACTTCCCAGATCAAGGTAGAGTTCGTTGGGATTTGCCTGTAGGGAAAAAAAAAGTAGGGAAAAAGGAAAGTAACAATATTGTGATCAGTCAGCCAATGCTCTCAACCTGGCCCACAACTGGAGAAACTGAAGGTGGACAGTATAACAGGTCTCAATTGTTTTATGTTTCACTCATTCTCATAAATGTCCTATAAATTATTCCCCCCATCTTCTATTCCTCACAGAACTGACTCCGTGAAAGCCTTTTCTAGCCTTTCCTCCAGGCTAATCTTAAATTTCCAAAATGAATCTGTTTTTCTCTGCCTCCTGTCACTTCCTCTCATGATCACTTTCAGAATGTTCTTCTTTATAGCTAACATATTTTTTTTCTACTTTGTAATTCCATTTTACCTGGTTAATATACCCTACAGCTTGTTGGTGATTCCTTAAATGGTTAAATAAGTCCTTGTTACGAAGCGTCCTTGGCATTACCATGCAAACCTGATGCAGTACTGATGAGATGCTGAGCCCCTCGCCAGCTCCTACCCTGCACCACCATGCTATGGTTGTAACATCAGCAGATCTCCTCACTGGGTACTTCAGATGGCATTTTCATGTCCATACAATTAAGTCAAAGTCTTTTTGGGAGTCCTGCTGCTAGCAGTTACTCTTTTACATTATGTATGACTCTTGATAAATCATACTATAAAGAAACTATTCTGTGCTGCTCTTGATTTTCAACTTTTGCTACAATTAAGATGCACAGAGAGTCTCAAGTATTGGGTTTCTGTGTTTTCTCAGTGCTTTCACTATGTTCTGTGTGCAGATTTTGAAGGCTGATATTGATGGATTGATTGATTGTCGGGATACAGCTGCTGCAAAGGAACCAACAGAGAAGGTAGCATAGTGGGGAGATATTTATAAAAATGAATGTTCTTTTCCGCAGCATTAAGTAAGAGGATTGTCAATTTAACCAGTGTTCTCATCTCACATGGCTATGGTATTCTGCAAACAACTAAATGAAGTGAGAGCAGAGTAAGCCTAAACTTTACTCACTGTTTCAAATTCTCACCTGGTAGGATGCAGCTCTCAGATGCCATGTCCTATGCCAGGGTCAGGGCAGAAATGACTGCCCAGACTTAGAACAAGTTGCCACAAGACAAGAAACCTTAATTAGCTCTAAATGAATTAGCCTGGGAGCCTCCCACCTGAATCTTTGTTTCAGTGCAAGTCTGTCCCTGCTAAAATGAGAGGTATTCTAGCTCCTTAGAGGTTAGCTTAGGTATCTACACATGGCACTGCATTACATTTTGCATATATAGTCGCAGGTACCCTGGGGCATGTACCCAGTTTTGGAAAAGAAAAAGCAGAGGAAGATCATATTTTTGGTGTGAGCACATGCAGACCACTTCCAGCAAATGTTTTCCCTCTTTTTGTTCTTAATGAGAGATATACTGTTCCCCTCAGCTGGCCCGCCTGCTCCACCAAATGCCCACTAAAATGGTAGCATGATAAAGAAATGACTTCAATTGCTGCACAAGGTTAAATACCTTCTTAAATTTAGAGTTTATGGGAATGATCTGTAAGGGATTATCTGTATGGAAAGTGAAGAAGGTATTACAAAAGTCTGCTGTGCAGCAAGGTTCAATCTACTTTCTTGAGCGCTTGGGGGCCAGGTTCTCTAAGGATGGACGTTTCCAGTCCACATCTTCACAGTGCCCCAGTGAGAGAGGGCAACACTACCTTCTCTGATTTATAGTGCTATCATCTCTGCAAATATATATGTGTATGTCTCTGTGCAGGAAGACAACAGCTGTACTAGGAAACCAAACCCACCTTTTCTTTTTTCTCTATTGTCCTACTTCTAAAACAACTTGCTTCTCTCTACAAATGTTAACACTAGCTGAGCTCTGACATGTAGAAACACCTGAAGTGACTTACCTGCTAGTGTGAATATATGCTTGGCTAAAATCCTTTTAACACTATCCATCACTGCCTCGTTAATTCTTATTTGTCATGCAAAGACTATGCCCCATGTAGGAATTGCTGCTGCCAAAGGCTTTTCTGTAAGTCATGATCCTCATCTGTCTGAGGCTAATAGCTACATATTAATATATATATATATATATATATATATATATATATATATATATATATATATATATATATATATATATATATATATATATATCTGTCTCTCTCTGTGTGTAGCCACTTCATTCCCAGAATAATGTTGTATCAGCTGGATCACACATACCTGTTTTGTGGAGTCACCCAAGCAATACAGAAAAGCTACCTTAAAAATACAAAGAGGTCAAAAGTCTCATCCCCACGAAGAATTACAAAAGCCACATCCCATATATGACAGCCTCTGATGGACAAGGAGGCAGTGGAAGGGCGGGGAAAGCCTAGAATAGGTCTATTTCTCTTTGCAAATGGAGTAAAGCCACCCTAATCTGATTTTCTTGGGAGAGAATTCAGTGATGAATGGTTCTGTGTAATATGCTGAGCCATCACCACATCGGAGCCATTTATCACTCTGAATGCATGGAGGCAAATGTGATTATTATTTAAATAAACTACAACTGGCCTCTGCTCTGTCCTCTGTGTGTATAACCTGCAGCATTCATTCATCTCGGAGAAGTTAAACCTTAAAATGACTAAGCTGATCCATTTCCATTTTAAATGATGCCAAGGGCGTTACTGAAAAGGGGAAAAGATGGTGACTTTAAGGAAAATGACGTCTGTTCCGTGAGTCATTTGTCTCCCTAACTTCTGTGCCTTTGATGCACCTGACAACTTCTGCATCCTTGAAGGTGGGAACAGCCCACAGCAGCTTTTGGAGCGAGAAGGATGGAGAACAGCAGGGGAGGCTGCCATGGCTGGGCAACAATGAGGGCAACTGCTGCAACTTGTGTAACTCGTGTGGACCATGCTGAGTCATATTCAGCAGCATCTGTGACATACCACATGCAGAAAGCAAGCCCAGTATGATGCCCTTTCACAGTCATTTTTCTATCCAGCTCTACTCTGGAGACTGGTTTTGATCTTTTTATCCCTGGCCCAGGTGCAATCAGGCTCAGACCTCCCCTACTGGCTGCAGATAATGCTGAAAATTTATGCAGCTGCTGAAGCACAGGCAATTTTTCAAACTCCTTTTGCACACACCTGGGGACCATCAGCTTAGGTAATGATAGATAACATTGCTTTGGCTGCCCAAGACTAAGCAATGGTTGCAAAAATTTCCAAGGGTCCCAGTTATATATCCTGGAACTGGCTAATGTTGAGCTTATAACACTGAACTCAAACAGAAAGAGGGTTTAGGAAATAACTTGCTTAGCATACAGGTACCACTATGTCAGCACGAGGTACAACTCTGAGTATAATGAAGGGCTTTCCTTTTCCTCAGGCTCGGGAGCACCCGGCCCCCTACACGCCTCTGTGCCAGGGCAGCCCTATGCAGTGGTGCTACCGAGGGGCTGTGTGCTCGCACACCCGCTGCCGCCATCCCGGCAGGCTCTGCTGCATCCGACACACATTTCATGTCTTGACATAAGCTTGCAAAGACCATCTGAGGTACCTGAACATCTTGTATAATCATGATTAACCTGAGCGGAGAAAAGCCCTTTTTGAAAAACTGCACAGGACTCGATTTGCACGTACTGAGCGAGTGGCAGTAAACACTTTGTGTGTTGGATAAATCTGTCTTTCTGTGATAGCAGTTCACAGGTGCTATTGTCAAGCGCTAAAAATAATGTGATACAGTGAAAAAGTAAACCCAGACTGCATTAGCAACTACCCACAACCACTACCCTTTTCTCCAACACTGGTACTGAACAGATGAAATGCTCTCACAGTCTCTCTGGACAGCCTGACTTCTTCTGGCTATTGAGACCTACAGCTCCCCTGTGTATTGAATTTTAAAGTAAGGAGAGAGAGTCTGAATTGAATTACTCAGCGCCGCATTAGTTAAGTGTCTCTTGTGAGCTTCCTCCTGTGAGCAAGCAGGGGACGAACTCCCAGCTAGTTGGGCTTTCTTCCCTACCTGAACTCCTTTTTCATCGTTCTCAGCACACCGGGTCCCTCGAGGCGGAGCGTGACGTTCTGCAGGGTTTGCTTCAGAGGATTGGTGAATTCCACAGTCACAGACATTTCTTTACCAGCTACCATCTCACCTTGGGTCTGCAAGACAAGGAAAGGACAACACTCCACAAGCTGATAATGATAAAATGCCTCAAGGTGAAATCTGTAGGGTTAAACACACAATACTTGCAAGGAAGGAGAGGAGGGGGAATGGACCACACAGCAAAACACCATAACGCAGAGAAAGCTTAGTCACAAGGAAATTGTTGGATGGGCCCACAGGTACTGCTGCAGAGTTTTCTGTCCATTCCAATTTTCCCTCGAGCCACATGGCGGGTCAAGAGGCAGGCCCTCAGTTCTGCTGATAAAACAAAAATCTGCGCACACAGTGGTGGAGCTCAGTGTCCAACTGAGGGCGAGTCCAGATGAGGGGGCCTCTCTCACAGATGATTCCCCCCTCCCCAAGCTCCCCACCTGGAGTGCGTGGTGTGCTTAGGGCATAAGCTGCAGAAGAGAAGGGCAGGTCTTATGACACTAAAGTAGAAACACTGACTCATGTTGCTTGCACTCCCCAAAAGTGTTGTGCCCGCCTTCCCCCCGCCCCGCAACTGTCTCCCATGCCCTCAAGGGTTTCTAGCCCTGCTCTCTACGTAGACCTGAGAGGGAGTTGTTCTCCAAAACACTTACATTGCAAAAAAGCAATACATTTTACACTAGGAAATATTAAACTGTGAGACTAACGAACAGTGATCGCTTTGACTTCCACGTGTATTGCAGTACACAGCCAAAGGGATCTGCCTGTCCCTTCAGATCAGTGCTGGTAGTACAGCTGCCTGGAAAACACCTCCAAATGAACGTGTTTTTAAACAAAGACTACCTGCATGGGAATTTTTGTTTTTTTATTTTTTCCCCCTAGAAACTCAACATTTCTCGCCGAATATAAAAGGCTCGGGCAAGGGGTTTCAACTTATGGCTGGCAGATCCCAGCTGGTCTGTGGGCTACTTTAAAGGGCCTTGAGAAAGGTAACTAAGAAAAACAAGTATCTTGTCAATAAATCTAAAGTGCTATGCTGGGGTCTGCAGCCCTACCGCAAATTTTTAAGGAGTATGACAGTTGCAAAAAGCTGGAAAGACTCTGGTCTAAGGGATCACCCTGCACCAAATACTGATATATTGACTGGAGTAAAGAATAAGATACTCACAGCTAAGCCCTCAACAGCGTTTGGCCACCTGAATTTGCAAAAAGACATCAGTGACACTTTCAGAAGTCCTAGCTCAATTAGAGGTCTTATTTCAATTGCCCATTTAAGATCACTTTTAAGTGGGGAGAGATTCAAAATCATCCTGAACTCCCACACATGCAACTGAGAGGATGATCTGTATTTGCCGAGCTTATTTTTTGTAACCTGGTCTCAAGCTAAATTAGAATATGGTGTAATTTCCTACACTCTTAACTCTGGCAATCTCCTTCAACCAACAGAGAAAGATCAAAGATGTATCTGAAGACATGAGAGGAAATATATTTCTTCATTTTTCTCCCTTACTCTCACATTAAGAACTCCGGTCTGCCAGTTGAATTCAATGAAGAAATCTGACAAGAAATCTAGGGAGATAAGCTTCTTCAGATTTCTTATAAAACAATAAAGTTTCCTATATAAATACATAGGCATATACACAAGTGTGCGCATACACATACTCTTAAAAAAAATCCAGCTATTAAAATTTCAGCTTATTTTTACACATCAAAAAGAAGCAGAGAAGAGATAAACTTGGTTTTACTAGAAGACATTGTTATCATAAAACAACCTATCTCATATACTAAACATCCTTTCTTCATAACAGCAGAGAGGATAAACTATTTTGAAGCTGAAATTTTGGATCCTGTATAAGACGTTCTGTTTAAGTATTGAATTGAAAGAACTCTCTACTTTCAAAGTTTGGTCACTGAAGACAGGTATTTGGAGTAGATGTTATCTGTCTTGTTTACCTCCTCTCTAGAATGCTCAGTAAACCAAAAACCTTTTTTTTTTTGAAAATATCAATAGTCTGATCAGATCATGGTGACATTTACGTAGACTGTGAAATATTTTGCAAACTTCACTGTAGTTTTGATCTACAATTTTTAAAAAGCTTTATCTGCAGAAGGCTGCTGTTCAAGATTACTACATATATTACTATACGGAAACATGAACGTTGGTTCAAATAAATATACGGGGGGAAAAGATCTATAAATATAGTTTTCTTTCAGGGTCCTGAATTTCAGGGAGCTGCATTCATGTTCATGTAAAGCTTCCTGAACAGGTGTTCTGCTTTTTTTTTTTTTTTAGTATTAGGAGAAAAGCAGATCCAAATTACATCATTCAAACCAGACGAAAGCTCAGCACTTTTGAAAATGAGGCAATTTATTTGGATGCCTAGTTATGAATTGAGATCTCTAAATCTCAGCCCTGCCTTTGCTGTACAACACAGGGTCCTTGTCCTATCACAAACATCACACTTCTACATTTTCATAGATACCATGCCACTGTCTGAAGAAATGCTTGAACTTTCAGGAAACTCCACTGACAGCAAAGCTCTGAAATCCTGAAAGCATCATCCCAAATGGATGCTACCCATCTAAATTTGGAGGAACTTTCTGCAACATCAGCAGGAGCTTTCCAAGCAAGTTCACCTGAACAGCAGTGTCCTTCATTCTTCAGCAAGGGGATACTGTGCTGTGTTGCTTTAAATGCAATGGACTTCTGAAGTAGTTAAAGACTTGAGTGACTTGAGTGAGTAATCTCTCTTACCCTTTGAGTTTCTCCGGCTTTCTCAGATCTTTTACCTTCCTTCTTCCACTGAGACCACTTCAGCTTTCCACTACCAGTGATGCTGTCAGCCTCAGACTTCAATGTAGGGATACTCAGTCCAGTGTATAACATACCTACACACCCTCCTATGCTCCAGCTGGATGCTGCTTTATGAAGTCCATGTTAGACTGAAGTTCTAACATGCGCGCGCGCACACACACACACACACACACACCCCCCAGAAGTCAATGTGACAGCCTTGTAGAAAACAGCCCACATGCAGCATCGTGGTCACTCCCCTCCACCCCAGCCCTGAACTACCTTGATCCTCAGGGCGGGAATTTCCAGGACTGTCGCTTTCTGCAGGGCCAGAATCTTCCCTGTTTCATTGATCCGCGCCGTCACAAAAAAATGAAAAGAGGCTTGGTCCAGCAGGTCACTCATGTACTCGCTCGATTTGATGACAACATCGAAAGCGCTAGCTGAAGGGAGAAACAGGAAAGAAAAGAGGCATCTGAAACAATCTAATGGCTAATTGCTGCTCCCATCATGGCCAGTGCCAGTTACATGAGTGCCTTGGAAAAAAGGTGGCCCACCACCAAAGAATGACTTTGATTTTTTTTTTCCCAAACAATCTTCATTTCTTTACCTCACCTTTCCCCATCTTATCTTGCCCTCTTTCCTTTTAGGTTGTGAGCTCCCTGGGGTAAGGGCTGGGTTTGTGCACAGCCTCTGCCCAGTGCCCATCACCACAGGCCCCAGTCACCGTTGAAGGTTTCTAGGTACTACCACAAAATAAGTGAGAAGCAAGACTGGCAATAAATAGCTAGTGGGCACAAAGGTCCAAACCAACTTTTGAGTGTCACCCCTGTAAATGTTTGCTCTTTAACTTTATTCCTGTGCTTTCTCTGCCTCTCTTCCTGACAGAGGGTTGCCACCAGGGATGCCACCAGAGCAGCCACTGGGGGTTGTGAGCCTATGCAGGCTCGCTGGGATACCACCTGGTCTCCGGGACATGTCTGGATATCTGCCTTTGTCCTACACTGGACTTGCCTGCAAAATTTAGCAAGAAGGTCCTCCTGTCACCAGCATGCCCTCCAGAGAACTTTCACATGCTCCCTGATGATAATTATTGCGAGGAACAAGTCCCCCTAAGGAAGATGGTTGAGATGCAGGGAATCATTGATTTTAACCATATTGAACAGCAATTCCCAGGCCAACAATGGTGCGAGAATGTAATGCAGAGAAGCAGACCTGCTAACTAAGTCACTGGGCAGAATATATAGATCTGGAGCTCTTGCCTCTATAAACATTTGTTATAAGCCTAGTAAACATATCAAGACCTCCCATCTGTTAACTATGATTATTACTGTTATCCATTATTTGTATTGTATTTGTGACATACACTGTACACACTGAGATAACTGAACTCTGTTGCGTAAATGACATTCGCCCCTTTTCACTCTTTTGATCCACTCACATCAAAACCAGTTCCTTGATTTGGTTTCAAAGCTATTCCCTTGGTGACCACCTGACCTGGATTTACCAGGCCAGCCTTAAATTTACTTGATGTACTCCCCCTCCCTCCCTCTCACTCTATATCTCTTGTAAAACAATTTCCCATAATGCCCCAAACTGCAATTCCTAAGTCACGCAAGGTATTTCTCATCTGTGTAAAGTAAGTAAGTAAGTAAATAAATAAATTAATTGCAATCAAATAGAAATTTACTTTACAGTGGAAGAGAAGGAAAAACTAACTTTTCTGTTTAAATTTAATCACCACAGGAAAAAAAAAAAAAAGATAGATTTGCATTACCTTAGCACTGGCTGTGCTGGTAAGTTGCCAGTATCACTTACTGCACCTGGGAAAGCCAAAGGAGACACAATACTGAGCTGCCTTACAGCCTTTCAGAAAAGAAAAAAAAAAAAGAAAACAAAAAGAAAACTAAATATAACTGAGTAGATGCAAGAGCACCTTTGAAGGCACTGGAAGGTTTAAGCAATTCAAATCCTCAAAGATGTTTTCAACCCACACAATTCCTTTAATCATTATTCTGAATATCATGCATTCGCTTCCTGTTTGAAAACTTAGTTTGCTTCATTCTTTCAGTAGCGTGAGCTGGAAAAATGCCTTTATTATATTGTATTTTTTTGTTACCTCCACATATATATATACACACACTTCTTGCCATCAATGAAGCCTACAAATTCTGCCTGAATACCTCCCATCACACCCCTGACAGTACTCTCACACAGTTGCAAATGATCACACTGCTTCCCTTCACACTGCCCATCTGCTCAGATACCATTCCTGATTGCACTTGTACTCCTTTTCAAGGCAAAGGAGAAAGAATTCATGCTCAAGTTTTATGTATCACCTTGAGAGATGACATAACTTGTGAAGGTTTTTTGTCCTGTTGCAGGACAAAGTGCTCCACAAGTCAATGACTGTAGCTCAGGTATAAACTAATTTCCACCTTGAAAGGTGGTAATCCCTTAAAACATGTCTCCTTGGCCAGAAGCAGTGATGGGGACCTAATTTTGGTACACATGCAAAAAAAACCATGTTCTGTTCTCTCAGGTGCCTCTCTCTAGTCTGTCACTCACCATCAGTCAATTCAGAGTTCCAGCATGGTTTCAAGAAGCTTTTTTACAAACCATTTACTTAGAAAAAAAAGAATTACGAGGCTCAGTGACGCTTAATTATCTATTCATTTCATTTCTTGCACAGAGGAGCTAGACAAGCCTCAAAGCACTGCATAAGCTGTGTTTTAGCTAATAATACCTTACACAGACCTTTGATGCAAGACCAGATGTAAGTCCTGGAACCAAGCACAAATTACAACCAGAAAGCGTAGCAGGTATTTGCTCATCTCCTACAAGATGACTGAATTTTACCCCATCAAAGAAGTGGCACAGAATTTAGACTGAGCAGTTGAAATTGATTTTTTTACTGTACCTAGCCAAGTTTTGCAGTATTTCAGATCAAATACTTTCTAACTGATGCAAGCCAATGTAAACCCCCACCCTGTGTTTTGATAGGCTGTGTTGGAACAACCCAAATGCCGTTTCCAGAGCCCCCGCAAATGATGTGGGGAGTTAGAAAAAACAGCAAGCGTCGGGACTTTGTTATAGACTGGAGGTAGAATTTTTATTAACCTTCACCTGTAGATTCCTATAAGTGGACTCCTACTTTATGAAGATTAATGAGCTCCAAATAAAAATGTGCAGTTCGTTTTGTCCTCTTTGAGGAGAGAAGGCTTACAGCATCTCTTGAGCTGGGATGAGATAGACAAGACAGATGAGAAAGCTCAGAGGTCAGCCAGGGTTGCTGTGATCCAGCACCAGACCCACAACAAGAGACCCATCCTTTGCCTCTCAATGTCTTGCCACTCCTGCTGCGCTCAACAGACATTGCTTTTGCCCAGTAGCAGTGTGAAGAAGGCAAAATCATTGCTTCTGACTCTCTCAGTAGGGAACTCAAGTGGAGGATCTTCTGACTTAGCCTCCATAAGAGCACATTCTCATCACTTTTGCTGAGCTGGAGGCACTGACCCAAGGGCACAGGCCTGTCAGAAGAACAAGTGATTGGCAGTCACTTGTTTCCGGAGAAGCCAGGGATCTACAACGAGCCTGCTCCACAGTGCTTAGGAGTACAGCAGGTCCTCAACACTTGCTGACTGTTTTCCAAATGGGGCTGCCATGGCTGCCATGAAGTAGATTGGTTATGTCCAAAATAAAAAGGGAAAGCATCCCCCTTCCCTACTTTGAGCAGTGCAAAATCCTGCCCTCAGGCACATGAGCTAGGCTACCAGGAACTGCTTTTCTCATTTTCATGAGGAAAGGGAGGGAGGATCTCCCCACCACAGTCCAGAGGGCACTAGGAAAAGCAAATGCTTCATCTGTAAATACAACTCACCTTTGGGGTTCCTGCGCAGGTGACAAATGCCCCTGGCTCTATAGTGGCACATTCTAGTTACACACAAACTTTTTAGATCGCTGTAGATACAAAATACCGGACCACCCAGTCATCCAAAGCCAGATGTGCGCTTGAACTCACTCAGAGCTTGTCAGCTTCTAGTAGGTAAGACAAGATATTCACCTTTTTGTCCCTGTAGATGACACCTTGGGGAACCAGAACTTTTCCTTCACTTGCTGAGATACTGCCAGGAGACTAAAGGTATGAAAAACAATACCTTGCAGCTTAATACCTGCACTCCTTTGCTTTCTTTTGTATTAAGTAAGAAAAATGAACAGTTCCCAGACATGCAGCTTGGCGTAAGCAGGCATTATTCAGGGCGCAACAGCCGGAAGGAAACAGCCTCAGCTTTAAACGGCACTGGTAGCAGGGCCAGACTTAAGAGTGGAGCCTCCTGATACCCAACAGAGTATTCTACCCCTAGCTACTAAAATTGCTTCTACCCATGTGTAGAGACATTGGTGACAGTTAATGACACTGAGAAAAAAAAACTTAGAAGTTTTGAAAACAACTGTGCAAGTCTTACATGAATAGGGTTCCAAGTATAAAACACTATGTTGCCTGAAAGGTAGGTAGTAGCGGTGTAGTAGTTGCGACTTTTGTTCCTCAAAGTTATAGTGACTTTAAAGTCACTGCCAAGGACTGCCTTTTGCGCTTGGAATTCCATGTCAACATCCGTTTGTGGCTGATACAAGGTATCTTGTGTAGTTTGCTTTTTAACGCCATACATCACAGCAGTCTCAAGAGCCAGTCTCTCCTCCTCTGAGCCTAGAAATGAAAGAAAATCAAATTTAGAAAAGAAACAGGGGTACTGCATTAGCCCACTCACCGATCACAAGGATGCATCTTCCATAGTTTGCGGTAGCTGAAATGAATGGATGAGGACAGTGAACCTTCCTGTGATAAATTTAGTATTAGGAGAACTTCACAGTTTCCAAGTGAAGTTAGTGTTAAAGATAGAAGTCATATCAGATAAATCAATGTAGCTTAATTGATATTAATGGAGCTACACTGATTTATTCTGTGTTAACATCTGGCCTGAGTAAGAAATGTCTAAATAGCTGTACAGAAAGCCTTGAATTGTTTTGAATGCTTTGAGTTATTCTATGACTACCCTTTGTTTTCACTGCAACTTACTCAGTCCAAAGCATTTCTAAGTAGCAAAGTCTGTGCTCTCATCAAGGCGTCTGCAGTGTTTCTGGGATGAAGTTACAAATAAAGAGTTCCAGAGGGCACCTTGGCAGCTTTTCATGAAGCTCCCTCAGTGCCAGGGTTTTGTAAATCCACCATCCAAGATCTGACTGAGGTAAATCTACATCAGTATTGTCCCACCCCATTTCAGGTTACCTTCTTGGAACTTGTACTCCTCAGTAATCTCCATCATTCCATCACCCCCAACTTCCTTGGTCACAATCAACTGCCCAACATGGGTTGTGTCAATTTTTTCTATCACTTGGGTTCCATTTTTCTCCCTTCTTGAGTAAACAATATCACTATTCACCTACAAAATTAAATGAAAAAGGATTGAGATATGTGGAAGTAGAAAGAAGGGAAGCCAGCCTAACTTCCCTCAAAACAATGACATGTTGACTTGAAGTCCCACTAATTACTTCCGTTGAAGTAATTTACTTCTGTTGAAGACTAATTTAAAATTAGTCATATGTTACAATGATAACTAGATGCATTTTACTATTCGCAGCTCAATAATGACACAGTGTAAACTTGAGAAGGTTATAGAGATAGTGTTCAGACTTGGGGAGCATGATTATACATTCTTTGCACCAAAAAGCTTTACGCCATAGAGACAGGAATGCTTCATAGACAAAATATCTTTATTCTTTTCTGTTCTAAGCTATATACAATTCAATTAGAGAGAGACTTGCTCTACAGCTGCTGCAATTCTGGGCACACCAGCTCTGGTGGTGCAAGAGGTTAAAATTCCAGACCAGGCTCTCTCACTCGTCATGGAGCTATTTCCCTCTCAGATCTGCCAGCCAAACCACCCACATGAGCTCTCCTTGACCCACTGCAGCCAAAATGAATATGGTGAGCAAAGACCTCTTTAAAGTCACTGTAACCATTTTGACTGAAATAAGCAAGAGAACCTTAACACAAGCAGCTTTGCTAGCAAGCCTAAGAAGGAGGTAACAGCTAACAAGGGGTGAAGATGAGCAGCTAGAGCTAGTGAGTCATTTGCCAGCACAGCTGGAATCTGGGATGGATAAATGACCACAGCCTGAAGTTTCATCTGAGCCAGAGCAGCTTATTCTGCTTATTACATTGGTGAGCAGAGATTAGAGAAATCTCTGTCATTCATTACAGCCATATCACATCTACTAGCCTGCATGTCAAAATATAATTATGAGATTTTTCTTTGACATGGAGTATATGCAAAGTAACTTCTAAGTCCATAAATTGCAGTGGAGCTCTATCTTCTGTCTCACCTATGGTCCCACTGATATGACTCAACGCACTAAAAATTTTCAGGTATGTACCTCAGCATAGACAAAAGGAGCATCAAATTGGAAGCAAACATGACCATGTTTAATGGCTTGAACTGAGGCTGGGCCGCACCTGTACATACCTGTGGGGAGAAGACAGATAAAGTGAGAGACTAAATGAATTTAAAAACATGCCAAAATGTTATATTTTCTCAAAGAAAAAGAAACTTTGCAGTTTGGTGAACCCTTTTAATAGTTTACAGGAACTCCTGACCAAGAAGTTAAAAGTTTAATTTCTGTTGCCAGCCATCTAAACTACACAGACTCAAGTCTGAAACAACATAACAGTTTGGTACCTTAAGTCTCTGTAAGCCTCAAGTGCTTGAAATGCAGTTAAATCTGGTTTTACTTAAAACAGATAATTTTGGGAGCGCTTAGTTATACCACAGGGTGAGAAAGATCTCACTGCAAATTTGCTAATAATATCTTTTAAGAACTGGAAAATTAAGGACTGGGAAGAAATAGCAGTGGCTATTTCACTTTTTCTCTCCTGCCTACCACCTGCTCAGGAAGTTTACTTTTGGGTGGAGAAACTGGCTGACAGATAATGAGAGAGAATTAATTTGATCGGGCTCCTCTGTAGGTTCTCTAAAATTTTAAAAGCCATCTTTTGGCAACAGGACTCACCTCTTCTGTACCAAGCAGGGCCTTTCTCATGCAGGATTTTGTGCACATGCATCACAAGCAGTGTTATAATAAGGACAGATTTATTTCACAGCTTAAAACAAATCAGGAGAAGGCCCTGAGAACAGGTGAGTGTGGCTATCTGGTGCAAGAAGTTGTCACTGGCCATATGGTGTCACTGGCTCAACTTATTGTTGGCCACAAATAACCCAAGCATTGGAAAGAGAGCTAAGGAGGACTTCAAGCAATATTACCATCGCTGGTTTCTTGGGGTGTCCCATCAACAACCTGCCATCCTCCAAAACCAACAGGAAGATCAGGTCTGGTCATCCAGGCTTCATTCCAGCAATGATAGTTCCTTAGACAAGAAATGAGATCAGAATATTAAATTCTTGGAAAGAAGCATAGAGACCAAAACAAACTTGTGTATTTATGTCTTACCATTGCTTCAATAACAACATTTGCCAATTTAGGGGTGAGGATGTTGGTTCTTTTTAGAGAACAGATTTTTAGGTCTAAAGGTTTGGTACATATTTGTTAAAACCTGAAGGCCACAATCTTTCATTGTAGTTTCTTGACTGCAAGTTGAAGAAGCTTTTTGATTCCTCTACTGTGTTCTGAATGCAAATGTCTCTGAGAAAACTTTGCAATGCTTGGAGATTGTTGGGGTATATAAAGAGCTGTCCCAGCCAGACACCTCCACTTCCGTCTGCCTGCTAAAGCAAGCTTTGAATCTTCTTCAAGCCACCAAAGTTCGGTCTACTTCGTAACTATTAAGACTAAAGCTTTAGTACCTGTTCTGAAGAGATTTCAGGATCAACTCCATAATGTACAGCGTGTAGTTTTGTTTTCGTGGCTCAAAACAAACATGCTTAGCTGGTTTCCATATTGGTTGAGAAAAAGACCCTGCATAGGCTTTATAAGACTATCCTCATTGTAGATTCTTTATAAGGTCTTCCCAGCGTACCACGCCAATGAGAGAGGTCAGATCTCCTAGAACATACAGCTTTCCATAAAACCCACCTACAAACATTATGGGCCAAGTCATGCTTTTAGCGCCCAGGACAGCGTGCTGAACGGGGAATTTCTGAGAGTGGTTCATCTAGGGGCTCAGGGTTGTAATGCCCTCCCATGGCTGGGTGCTCAGGAAACGAAAAGAAAACACTGCACTACCACCACAGTCTGCCCAAAATGTTTCAAAGAGGAACAGAAAAGAAAAACAGATCTTGTAACTTCCTGCAATGCTACCAGTGCTCAAGGGGGAGCACAACCAAGAAAAAAATTTACAATCTAGGAAGAGGGTCTTGCAATAAAGCCAGCAAAGTGAATGTTATTACCAAAAAAAAAAAAAAAGGAAGAAAGGGATAGAGAAAAGGGTGATTTTGCTTGCAATTTATACATATTCTACAGCAGATATGAATAAAATTACATCTGTGTAGCTGCTGATACAGCCCCTCATACATGCAATGATATTAGCAAGCAAAATGGGGATTGTTAAACTCTGACCATTTCATTAATAATAGGTGAAAACCAGCCATGGCACAGAGTTGGGAGGATCTGAGGCTTGTCTAACAAGACATTTCAAAGTGGAAATGAAAGCTTGGATCAGGGTAAAACTTGTCAGTTAGGAGAGTTAATGAAGCAGCACTACAGAAAAAAGAATTATTCAAGGAAAATGACGCACACTCAGAGAATTTTTGATGCTGCTGAGAGTAGTCAATGCTGAATCATGCTTGCAGAGCTTTGCTGAGGGCTACCAAAGATCGGGGACGTACTTAGTGGAAGATGGGTTTTTGAAAACTGTTATGTCAACATGTGAGAGAGACAATCTCTGCCCTGAAACCTTCACTGGTTCACTTTGAATCAAACTCAGATGTGTCGTGAAGGAAGAACCTGAAGAGCAGGCAGGAGGGAAGGATGATAAAACCAAGGAGGGGATAACAGTGCGGAAAATGGCATCTCTGCATCAATTTTGTAATTAGATAATGCAGATATTTCTATATTTTGCTATATTCATCCTAGGGGACATGACTTTTCTTACTGGTTTCTATTGGCATTGTGTTGGGCGCAACAGGACAGCAATTTCTTTAGGTCAGCTGCCATGCAAATAACAAATACGCTTAAGGATATTGAATGCGAATGGGCAGAAAGACATTGCTTGTAAAGCACATGAGCATTAAGGAAAGGAGGATGAGGGGAACATTTGCCTCTCCAAAATGCAGCAGAATCTTCCCTCTGGTAGAAGCAGGCACAGCCGAGGAGCTGGCTTCACAGCCTAATTTGTTAAACTGATTCTGTAGTTCTTGTATTCTACAGCAAGCCTGAGACATTAAAGAAAGCAAGAGTGGCTACACAGATCAATGTAGTGACCATTAAATATTTACAGAGATAATTACGAATAGACTAAACAAAGCAATGGGGAAATTAATAAAAGATGACCAGGTGGGTTTTATGCCTGGAAGACAATTTAAGAAGGGTACTTCATATTGCTTATGAGACAGGCACATGCTGGAAACAGCTGCTGCCCTTTCATTAGCTAATAAGCTCAGGCATTGGGGTTGAGGGAGGCACTGATAACCTTAGTGAGAAATTAGAGAAAGGTGAGCTGGAAGTGAATGGGAGAGCATAGTTCTCAGAAGGGCTTTCTCCATGGGCCTGGACATGAATGAACCCTCACGGGGCTGGGTGACTTTGAGCAAGTTTCTGCTGAGGTACTGACATCGGTCTGCTTGGACCTCACAGTAGGAGTGAGTCTTGATTCCCATCCAAGAGAAATATTCTTTAAGTGTCTTTATATCATCGTTAAGAAGGACAAGGAGAACAAAGTTGGGGGGCAGAGGCAGCACTGATGAGCCCAAATCCGGCCAACTTTATAAAAGTAACTTTTTGTAAAGTCTGTGTTATTTTGTATATGTGTGTTGTTGTTGTTTCCTATCCTGAGGGAGAAGATGATCTTTAATAAAAATAAATAAATGTCAGATAACATTCAGAGGGAGCCCCACACTCGGAGATTGATTGGACTAAAAATCCTGGCTCCAAGTATCCCTGAAGTCTGAGAGTATTTAAAACCTGAAGACAGATCAGCTCCAGCAGTACAAGGCAATAGAAATGATATATTAATAAAGAAAAAGAGCTTTGCTTCCAGTCTTCAGGACATTATAAGTAAAAGTGAGAAACACATTTAAAAAAATCATTATAAATATCTTGATCTTGTCCTCTAAAAAAAAAAAAGAAAAGAAATAAAAGAAACATTAAAAATAAAGTCAGGGTTAAGAGACAAGCCATTTAAAGTCGGCATGTGGGCTACCATGGAGTGTTACAAAGTAATGAAGAGAAAGGACACAGAGGAGAAATGAAGAGAGGTGTGTAATATATTAAGTCATGCCCAAAGGGTTATGTGCACCATGTACTAATAAATGCACCAGGAAAATAAAAGGATCAACAAGGCAGTTTGAAAAGTAATCAAGCCAAAAAAAACCCCAAAGGTAAGACAGGAGGATGGTGTGAAGCATATGGATTTCAGTGGAGGTGATGATCCAGCCCTGCCCCAAAAAAATGCAAAAAAACCCAGGACTGAACTAAAAAGTCTTGAGAAACACCTGGGAAGCAGAGAAGTAAGGAAGTAAAAGGAAATATCAAAAGCAGGTGAGAGTTGTTTCATGGATCAGGTTAAGAGAAGGGAAGAGGAAGAAGAGATGAGACACTGACAGGTCTGAAGCAATGCAATAATCCATTACTGGGTATCTATGGACTGAGCAGTGGGGTGGACAGACTCTGGCTCTTGTTTCACATAACTTATAGGCAAAGGAAATTTCAGAAGGGTGACTGTTCCTTCACAGCTCTGTGAGCTGTAGAAGGACCAGCACCATGAGACATACTGAGGTCCTGCTGCCACACAGACCAGATGCAGCTTAGCAAACTGGGACCCTCCCCAAGGATTCTAACAGGAGTGAACAAAGCAAATAGCAGGACCACAACCCTGGACTTCAGGAGAGTAGGCTTTGGCCTGTTTAAGGCCTTCTGTGAAGAATCCCATGGGAAGCGCTTCTGGACAGAAGATGGGTCTAGAAGAGCTGGTTGTTTTTCAAGGGTCACCTCCTCCAAGCTTAAGAATGGTCCATCCCTATGTGCAGGAAGTGAACAAAAAGTGGAGCAAGGCCCGTTTAGTGAACCTCGTGGTTTGGCCTCAGCCAGCAACAAAGAACCATGCAGCCGCTCGCTCCACTCCCACAGCCGTGGGTAAAAAAATCAACAGGGAAAAACTCATGGGTTAAAATAGTGCAATTTAACAGAACAGCAAAAGGGAAGATGAAAACAAAACAGTAACACCGATAAAGGGATATGAAGATGCGATTACAGTACCGCCACAAAGCACACCGACAGGACCCACACTGCCACAGCTTCCCCCACATGGCAACTACTCTCCCCTCCCCGGCTAGCGCCTCTTATAGCCCAAGCATGGGTCACCTGGGATGGAATACCCGCCCACTGCCGGCTCCTGGGGGAAATTAACCCCCATCCTTGCCGCAACCAGGACAGTGAACAAGGTGGCCCTAACTAAACTCAAATATTAAAAAAAAGTGCACAAAAGGTGGAAGCAGGGACAGGTGATCAGGAGGAATACACAGACACCGCCTGAGTATGCAGGGACAGGTTTAGGAGAGCCAAAGCCCCAGTCAAACAGAGTATGTCAAGGGATGTGAAGAGCAATAAGAAAGGCAAGTACATCAGTATCAAAAGTGAGACTATGGAAAACATGGGTCTGCTGCTGAATGGGGCAGGAGAGCTGGTGACCAAGGAGTAAGAAAAGGCCAAAGTATTCAATGTTGTCTTTGCCTTGTTTTTTACTGCTAAGATTTTCCTTCAGGAATCACAGATCCTGACACCATTGTGGAAGTTTGGAGTAATGAAAATTTACCATTTGCAGAGGAGAAACAAGTCAAAGAATATATAAACAAACTGGACACACAGAAGTCCAATGGATCTGATGGGATATACCCAAAAGTGCTAAGGGATTTGTCCAATGTCACTGTGAGACCACTTGTATCTATCTTTGAAAGGTCATGGAGACTGGGTGAAGTTCGTGAGGACTGGAAGAAAGCAGGTATCACTCCTTTCTTGAAGAAAGAGAAGAAGGAGTACCCAGGGAACTACAAACTTGTCAGCCTCACCTTGATCCCCGGGAAGGTTTCTTCTCACAAACATTTCCAAACATATTAAGGACAAGGTGATTGGCAGTAGTCAGCATGGATTTGCAAGGGGCCAGCCATGCCTGACCAACTTGATAGTTTCTCTGATGAAATGAATGACTGAGTGGGCAAGGGCAGACCGGTGCGTGGGGCTTGTTTTCTCTTTTGATTTTAGCACCATCTCCCAGAACATCCTCATGGATAAACCATTGAAGTATAGACTAGATAAGTGGACAGTAACGTGTATTGAAAACTGGCTGAGCTGCTGAGATTAGAGGGTTGTGATCAGTGGTGTGAACTCCAGCTGGAGCCTAGCCACTAGTTGTGTACCCCAGGGGTCAATACTGGGTCCAATACTGTTCATCATTTTAATTAATGACCTGGATGACGAGACCTATTATGCCCTCAGCAAGTTTCCTGATATGGTAAACTGGAAGGAATGGCTGATGCACCAGAAGTTGTACATGAAGAGAGGCTGAAAGAGCTGGGCCTGTTCAGCCTGGAGATGGAAGGCTCAATAGGATCTTATCCATGTGTATAAATGCCTGGTTAGGGAACCGGAGGGAAGAAGACAGAGCAAGACTCTTCTCAGTGGTTCTAAATAACAGGACAAGAAGCAATGGGCACAAACTGAAAACCAGGAAATTCCCTCTGAACATCAGGAAACACTTTTTTACTATGAGAGTGGTTGAGCACTAGCACAAATTTCCCAGAGAGGTTGTGTGGAGTGTCCATCCTGGGGGATATTCAAAACCCAACTGGACTCAGCCCTGAGCAACCTACTCTAGCTGACCCTGCATTAGGCAGGGGAGTTGGATGACTTCCAGGGGTCCTTTCCAGTCTCAGCTATTCTGTGATGTTGTGATACAAGCTTCAGATGTAAATGAACCTAATTGTTTTCCTTAGATTCGCTCTTGGTAGCAGATTATGGAAAGTGCATAAAAGAGGTTACCCCAACAGGTTCAGTTGTTTCCTCCACCACAGAGTGGGTTTATTTCAGTTTTAATATAAAGACTTCCAGAGACAGTGCTGTTAATGAAACATGCTGATGAGCAACTATGCTGATGAGTTGATGCTATCATTGACAGAAATCAGGTATATTAACACTGAATAGGACAACTATCTCCTGAGTATAGGAATACAGAGGTCACATTCACTGCTTCACTCAGAGGAGGAAAAGCTTGAGGCCAAATAACCCACACATAATTTGTAAGGAACAGAGCATATAATCAATATATGCTACATTTCTCCTCTCAGACAGGAGACAGTAAGAGTTCAGGGAGCAACTTAGAGAACTGTCTTCTCCAAAAGAGTAGGTAGACTCCATTTCTTGTTCCTGGGGAGTTTTCTTTTTACAAATCTGGCGATAGCATTTCAGTAACTTGTTTCTCAGCTTGTTTGTTTTTCAGCTGAATTAGATTTATTTTGGAAAGTACCTATTTGTGACAGTGACTGTATGTATACAATGTAAAACCGGCCTACAAATATGGGAACTTGGCAGAAGCAGAAGAAGAAGGGTGTTTTTACATAGATATTGAGGTATGCCTTTGAGCCTAGCTCCAGACTGATGGAAGTGCCCAGCCTACCCCTTTCCATTTTGAGAAATGGCCGGGCCCTAAGGACCACAAACCATTTCCAGCTGTCCTCCAGTCTGCTTAAATGTGCACTGTATGGTAACATCAGTTGTGGGATCCCCTAGGGTTTGTCTCCTTACGTGACAAGCACTTCATATTAGTCAGCCTACTAACAATCCATTCATTCTGTTTTACACAAGCTAGCAGTGTTCTTTAATGCACAGAGAAATAAATAAACCACAGGCAGTGCTGTCATGTTTTTTACTACTTACAGAGTTGACACATTAAAGGCATTTTCCAGGAGAACTCACCAGATAGAGTCTTTTGTAATTTTGGTGTCCACTTTCCCTTCGTCATCCAGAAAGAAGTCCAACTGTAAATTGGCATTGTTATCATGGGCAGAAGAATAGTTGGTAATGAGTCTTGCAGGTATCCCCAAGCACCTCAGAACTGTGGAAAAGAGAGAAGTGTGACGAGAAAGACAAATATGAAGAGTGTAGATGACAGGAGGAGTAGAGAGCAACTATTAATAACTAGAATAAAATGGGAAAACTCAGTCAAATCAACCCAAATAATTTCTCCTATCCGTCTTTATATAGAATATGTTTAATATTTCATTTGGTCCCAAAATGATGAGCATTCAAGTGTAATGGTACAATGGTTATAACCTAAGCAGCTGATTACCGATAGTTTTAGAATAGTCTTGCATAGTGAACACGCTGCAGCTTTAAAGGGCAAATCTGGGTGCAGTGGGTCAACTGCATGACCAAACATGGTGTAAAGAAAAATAAGTTTGAGCTTGCAAGAAACACAAAATATATTAGGTCTCCTAGTGTCAGTAACCCAGGAGAATCATGAGTCTGTGCTAAAAAGAAAATTAATAGAAAGTATCTCCTTCTGGTTAATTTGGAGTTTTCTTGTTTGACATCTGCTGTCAGAAAGGATCTGGAGAACACAAAGAATAAAGCAGAAAACTATCGCTAACAAGGGGAAAAGCTGCATTATTTGCAAGTGAAATGTCAGAGTTAGAGAGTCTGAACAAAATGCATTACATAATTTGTATTGATTGCTAAGTAATAGTATTTTGGAGTCAATAGTCCCTTCCAATAAAGGATCTTAAAAGGAGGATCAAAAAAAAAAAAAAGCTCCTACCCCTAATTCTCAGATCATCACAACGTAGCACTGATGGCTCTTCTTCCCATTTGACAAGTGGTAAATTTGGGAAATGTGGAAATCATAGAATCATAGAATGGTTTAGGTTGGAAAGGACCTTGAAGATCATCGAGTCCAACCCCCATGCCACGGGCACGGAGACCTCCGACTAGACCAGGTTGCCCAAGGCCACGTCCAGCCTGGCCTTGAACACCTCCAGGGATGTGGCCTCAACAACCTCTGTAGGCAACCTGTTCCAGTGCCTTACAACCCTCAAAGTGAAAAACTTCTTCCTAATATTTAATCTAAACCTGCCCTCTTCCAGTTTATATCCATTCCCCCTCGTCCTGTCACTACATGACCTAGTAAAAAGTCCTTCCCCAGCTCTCCTGTAGGCCCCCTTTAGGTACTGGAATGCTGCAATAAGATCTCCCCAGAGCTTTCTCTTCTGCAGTAGTGCATCATTAGGCCTCTATGTTTGTGGTGCACCTGAGCTCATAGACATGGAGCACAGCCCCAAGGGGGGAGAGGGGCTGCAGGGTGGCGCATCATCTCAGCGTCTCCAGATGAAAGAACTTGTGCCTCAGCCAAAAAAAGTTCCTGTTTTCTAGTTTAAGAGCCAACATCGTTCTGCAGAAAACAGAGGGGTTTGGGCTTTTGTTTTGGTTTGGGTTGGTTTTTTTTTTTTAAAGGAAATAATTTTTATTAAAAATCCTACTTACAAATAGTTCTGATGCTGCAATGTTGAATGGACCTTGTTTCTACTGCTGGGTTTTGTATATTCATTAGTGTCACTACTGTGATTCCCAATAAAGTGTAACACTGCACATTCATTTCAAGTTCCTGGATGACAAATTACCTGGATGCATCCAATACCATATGTACCTATTGATTAAACTTAATTCAAGTGCCCTCCCAGGCTTCCAGCACATGAGCCATCAGGGCTCATTGAAAATAATTTGTCTGACAATTTCAAGATTAATGACCATTTTTCAGAATGTTTTAGCATTTTTAACGGATGACTATCCAGAGTCTACAATATAGTAACCTTGGAAAGCTGGACTGGTCACAATAAAACATTGTCAGCTGAGAAATACTCAAAATCAGCTCAAAACAGCCCTTTTAGTTGCACACAGCTGTTCAGACTTTTCTGTCCTTTCTCTGCAGTGGTCAGCAGCTGGAAGCGTCAGTGGCTACATATCAGATCAGCCACTGGACAACATTTTTGTTTCATAATGCTCAACAAACTTAATGCTTCAGCAATGCTTGCCATACAAAATGGCAGGTCTCTGACTTGACTAACTTAGTCAGCAAACCGAGTCTAGTTTTGCCCCAGATAAATACGCCTCTCCATCTAACACAGCAGGCTCCAGGCCTCTGCTGCATCGCCTCAGTTTCACAGTGGCCTGCAGGCAAAACACTGTGAAGCAGTGATTCGAGGCTAGTGTGGGGGGAAAGTAGGAGAACTGGTGTGTGTGTCTGTGATCTATAGAATTCCAGATAAGGCAATGGGCAAAGAAGACAAAGTGGCCCATGGAAGCCTCTGCAAGAAATTGCAACCATAGGAAACATTCACAAGAGCCTCTTCAAACCCATTGCACTGTGCAGAGGCTGAGGATAATCAAGTACAGACCATGCGACTTCAGGCAGTGAAGGAAGTAGATGCCTCTCAGGTTCTTTGGGTTTGCGTGATTGCTCATTATCTCACTGCATTAGGAATAAAATGAACCATTTCATTTCTCAAAGGACAGAGTACCTGCCAGCACCTCCCCAAATCAAAACAGGAACGTCTCCAGATACATGAAACGGAAGCAGAGAAACATGAAACTGCATCCATCAACGCAGCTGTGAGAAGCGTGTGCCAACAGAAGGCTAGGTGGTCAGAAGGCAGATTTATTTCCTAGGTCCTTACTGTTTTGAATAGCTTTTGAACTACTTCAGGTAGCCAAAATGAGTTACGAAATTCAATTATCCAGACTGGAGGAAAATTATGTACAAACTGAAACATACACATACAGAACAGCCAAAAATAACGTGAAAACGCAGAGATGTCCACCGCTGCCCGGGGGTGAAGAACCAGTCTTCTAACTTGACATTAATTATTCAATTGCTATGTTTGCTGCCGAAGATGGGTGATTAATATCCTTCCTTTTTGATAGAAGTATAATGTAAAGAGAAGTATAATGCTATTTGCTCAGACGGCAACGTAAGATCATAGAATTGTCTGGGTTGGAAAGGACCTTTAGGATCATTGAGTCCAACCATTAACTTAACACTGCCAAAATCATCACGAAACCATGTCGCTAAGCACCACGTCTACCTGTCTTTTAAATACCTCCAGGGATGGCGATGCAGTCACTTCCCTGGGCTATCTGTTCCAATGGTTGATAACCCTTTTGGTGAACAATTTTTTTCTAATAGCCATTCTAAACCTCCCCTGGCATAACTTGAGGCTATTTCCTCTTGTCCCATCACTTGTTACTTGGGAGAAGAGACCAACCCCCACCTCGCTACAACCTCCTTTCAGGTAGCTGTAGAGAGTAATAAGGTCTTCCCTCAGCCTCCTTTTCTCCAGGCTAAACAACCCCACTTCCCTCAGCTGCTCCTCATAACACTTCTCCAGACCCCTCATGAGCTTCATTGCCCTTCTCTGGACTCGCTCCAGAATCTCAATGTCTTTCTTGTACTGAGGGGCCCAAAACTGAATGTGGTATTCAAGGTGCAGCCTCACCAGTGCTGAGTACAGGGGGACAATCACTGCCCTCGTCCTGCACACCACAGTGTTCCTGATACTGGCCAGGATGCCATGGGCCTTCTTGACCACCTGGGCACACTGCTGGCTCGTATTCAGCCAACTGTCGACCAATACCCACAGGTCCTTTTCTGCCAGGCAGCCTTTCCAGCCACTCTTCCCCAAGCCTGTAGTGCTGCATGGGGTTGTTGTGACCCAAGTGCAGGACCCGGCACTTGGCCTTGTTGAATCTCATACCATTGGCCTCGGCACATCCATCCAGCCTGTCCAGATCCCCCTGTAGAGCCCTCCTACCCTCAAACACATCGACACTCCCACCTAACTTGGGGTCATCTGCAAACTTACTGAGGGTGCACTCAATTCCCTCATCCAGGTCATTGATAAAGATATTAAAGAGAACTGTCCCCAGTACTGAGGCCTGGGGAATACCCCCTGTGACCAGCCACCAACTGGATTTAACTCCATTCACCACAAAGTTTTGGGCCCAGCCTTCCAGCCACTTTTTTACCCAGTGAAGAATACACCCATCCAAGCCATGAGTGGCCAATTTCGCCAGGAAAATGCTGTGGGAAACAGTGTCAAAGGCTTTACTAAAGTCCAGGTAAACAACATGCACGGCCTTTCCCTCATCCACTAAGCAGGTCACCCTGTCATAGAAGGAGGTCAGGTTTGTCAAGCAGGACCTGCCTTTCATAAACCTATGATGACTGAGCCTGATCACCTGGTTGTCCTGCATGTGCCATGTAGCGGCACTCAAGATGATCTGTTCCATAACCTTCCCCGGCACTGAGGTCAGACTGACAGGCCTATAGTTCCCTGGATCCTCCTTCTGGACCTTCTTGTGGACGGGCATCACATTTACTAACCTCTCGTCAACTGGGACCTCCCTGGTTATCCAGGACTGCTGAGAAATGATGGAAAGTGTCTTGCTGAGCACTTCCTCCACGTGATAGTATTGAGTCAGACAAAAAAGCAAAAGGTTTCACAGAGCGTTTTTCTGTAATTTCCTTTTCATGTCTTAAATACAAGGATGAAATCTTAGACCTTCAGCTGTGGCTGAAATTACTTGATAAAAAGTAGGCTCTAAGCCTGCAGAAATACCCATTGTGTCCCTCTGGTCCTAAACTGATATGGTCCCCCCCAGTTTGATACTTAAATGCATATATTGTAAGTGCCTCTGAGGAAGATCGTCTGCACTTAAGAAAGACACTTCTAGTTTCTGTTCAGCTTCTTTTATTGGCCAGTGCCATAAGCACAGGAATGACTTGACTGACTGCTATGTCACTTGACATAAGCATTGCTTCCAATATCTGGTCCCCATTATCTGTGTAATGCACATTTCTTGCACTCACAGAGTCTTCCTTGACTGCTAATACACTGCAGTGTGTTCCAGTGTATTAGTAGTGTCCATCTGGGATGCTGCTGTTAGCAACTGCTGGACAGTAAAAAAATGGGAGTAATCCAACACTTCTTTCCTACTGGGTTTTATAACCTGCAACACCCCATTTGCTCCAATGTTGAAACTCTAGTTTGAGCAGGTGTGTTTAGGCTTAACTTTATAGAGTTACACAACTCATAAAGAAGGTCAGAATTTTCCTCCTTGTTCTGGTTCACAAACTCCATAGAAAATGTTAACAGTGCTCAGCAGACAGGTGCACATCAATTTTGCTAGGAACAATCCTTGGTAGGTAGACACTTGGCCTTTCTGGAATAGAAACACCATCACATATCCCATACTGGGTAACAGTTTCATGTTGTAGGTCTAGATAACAAACCCCCTCTTCATCTCAGATTCCCGAAGAGAAATGTGGAGTGTGCCAAAAATCTAACTTTCTCTCTCCCGAAGTTACCCTTGTGAGTGACTGAATAGATTTTACTGAATGAATAAACAGTTAACAGATTTGTGTGGAAGAGCAGCAGAACTGAAGGAGATGCCAAAGGTTTATTTAAAGAGCATCTATTTTAGCCATGTGTTTTTTTAAGTATCCCTACTATTTAATCCTGAACACCACAGAGCCAGGAAGTATTTTAGTTAGTTTAATCTGAAAGCTCTCTCTGTTATGCAAGAATTGCATAGCAAGGTAGAGCTTTTCTCATGGATACCTACATGTGTTGAAGACACCAGCAAAGACCCAGCACTGGCCATATCGCACAGGTTGCTTAGAACTGTAATACTCCAAGAGAATGTCCACGCTTCCTGTCCAGGCTGAAGGTGCGACCCCGTAAGTGTACGTATTGTCCCAGGATCCAGCAATCACACCATTATCATCCCTGGAGTTGATCTGAAGACAAAGGAAATGAGCATTAGGGCTGCCAGAGACAAAATAAGAGCTCTTTAATCCATCAGACAAAGATAGGATGGGAGAGACTGAATATAGCCAAGTTTAGGCTAGAAATAAGAGAGAAATATTTAATTATGAAGGTAGGAGCTGAATAGAATAATCTTGCTAAGGGCAATGGATTTTCCATCACTGAACAATTTTGAATGAAGGTCAGACACTTAAAAATAATGGTGAAATTAAATCACCACACTGAGTATCCATGTTGCCAGTTTAGTAAGTTTTATTAACATTAAACATGCTTACTGCTATGTATTTTTAATAAACATGATCAGTTATATACTGACAAGCAAGCGTCAGAAATATTAAGCTGGATTCTTTTCTAATATCATCTGTTTTTTCTGTCTGTATCAGTCCAAAGATTTGTATAAAATCACTCCTGATTTACAATGGATTGAGAGGAGAATGAGTCCGCTGTTATTTTTAGAGTAGAAACTAATTTCTTTGGTCCAGCACACATGAAAACAAGAAGGAATTTGCTGTGTAAGTTTTCCCCTGGTAAGATTACACAAAGCAAGAAGTTTTGCTGACTAATGGCTATACTGATAGACATTAACGAGCAATACATCTCCTAGCTGCAATTTGGACCAAACCAGTTGAGGCTGTGCAAAACGCTCATCCGCTCTGTACCTTTTAATTATGCTAATGTGGAACAGCTACACATGAGCCAAATAAATCACAGCTCTCATTTAGAAGCTTTTGACTGGATTAACTACTGTTTTATAATTAGAAAATTCACTTTCTGTGAACTCTAGGACTGAGTAAAGGAAGTATTCAAAGTCATAACCAAAGGGTTAAGGGGTTGTGCCCATCTCCCTGTCATGGGAACATGCCAAGAGAAGAGGCATTTCAAGGGCAGGGCAGTGTGTTGATCTTCAGGCTCTCCTCTGGCTGTAAAGAGAGGAAGAAGGGGGCCACTCTACCCGTTCTGCAATGCCAGGAAGCCTCAAAAGGACACCAGCATTGGGCCACCTTCTCAGATGACCTCAGCTCTACCACATTTCAACTTGAGCAAGAATGAGGGTAAGGAACAGGAGTGGGATTTCAATATCTCTTGGCCACTTCTTAGTGAGGTCCAGATTTCAGATGGCTGAAACTCCTGCCCAGCTATGGCTTAATCCTGCAGATTAGACCTAAAGTCCATTGACTCCTGGGTTTCCAATGGTAAACTTTTCCACCTCCCTAAAATGATTGAGTGGCTCAAAACCCAAGTAATAGCCAAGTCCTCTTTGGGTTCATGAACTTTGTGCTGTTCTGCCATTAGGGCTTCTGTGGTCCCTGCACTAGGGACCCTTTACGTCTACTAGGCCACATCCAATTCTTACTTCTGTCTGAAGGTCTGAAGACATATTTCTAATGTCTGTGGTGAAAGAACTAACCAAAAGGTTAAAAGAGAAAGAAAAGGGGGGGTGTTCTCAATACTTCTGAAGCTATTCTATTTAATGTGATGCTATGCAATATTCAGCATGTGGCACTGAGGCTGGAGATCCCATTTTAATGTCATCTAAGACAAAGAGCTAATTCTTTTACAGCCTAGGAAGCCTGGGCAAATAATGTAACAAGTGGGTTAAAGGATCCATCTCTAGAAGCCATGTTTTATGGACTGTGTATTTTAGTAGCTGACTTGAAAGAACATCTAATGCCTCTAGCTCAATGACTACAGTATCATTCTGGGAAGCAGAAGGCATCAGTTCAGACCTCTATAAGGCAAAGAAGAGGACTCAGCCTCTGCCTTCCACATCCTGAATTAGTCTTTCATCTTGAATATTACAGATGGGGCCGCTCTTGCACCCACAGCATGACTCCAGGTGCCTAGCAGCTGGAAAGAATAGAGATGTAGAGAGTTTTCTCCTTACTCTTTGCTTCTCGTTATTTTACATGCTTCCATTCTGAGTGTGGTAAGTTTTGTGGACCCCATGTTTAAGAGGACAGCTCTCATGGTGTTTTTTTCTGGGGCCAAGGTAGCACGCATATATGTTCTCAGCCTGACTAGGCCATCCAGGGCTCAAAAATCAGACAGTAACACCGTCCATTGCAGTGTCTTAGGACCCCATTGAGGTTAGTGCTGCAGTCCACATAAAGTCTCTCAGTTCCTCATCCCAAATTCCACCCATCATGCCGTCTTACTGTCCATGGAAGAAATAGCTTTCTCAGTTATCTCAGCTACCAGAAAGTGAGGACAGTGTCACAAGAAATGATATCATGCCTGGAGTGCAACGTCTAAAAGTGGCTTTCCTACCAGTGAGGTACCGTTCTCAGGAAAAAGGTGATGAGCCAACATAAGTATTACAGAATCACAGAATGGTCAGGGTTGGAAGGGACCTCTGGAGATCATCTAGTCCAACCCCTCTCCCAGAGCAGGGTCACCTACAGCAGGTTGCACAGGATGGCATCCAGGCAGGTTTGGAATGTCTCCAGAGTGGGAGACTCCACCACCTCTCTGGGCAGCCTGTGCCAGTGCTCTGCCAACCTCAAAATAAAGTTGTTCCTCCTCCTGTTAAGATGGAACTTCCTATATTCGAGTTTGTGCCTGTTACTTCTTGTCCTATCACTGGGCACCACTGAAAAAAGACTGTTCCCATCCCCCTGGCACCCTCCCTTTAAGTATTTATAAGCATTAAGAAGATCCCCCCTCGGTCTTCTTTTCTCTAGACTAAAAATATCCAAGTCCTTCAGCCTTTCCTCAGAAGAGAGATGTTCCAATCCCCTAATCATCTTTGTAGCCCTTTGCGGGACCATCTCCAGCAGTTCCCTGTCTTTCTTGAACTGGGGAGCCCAGAACTGGACACAATACTCCAGATGTGGCCTCAACAGGGCAGAGTAGAGGGGAAGGATGGCATCCCTCGACCTGCTGGCCACGCTCTTCTTGATACACCACAGGATGTGATTTGCCTTCTTGGCCGCCAGGGCACATTGCTGGCTCATGGTCATCCTGTTGTCCACCAGGACTCCCAGGTCCCTTTCCACAGAGCTGCTCTCCAGGAGGTCAGCCCCCTGTACTAATTCATGGGGTTATTCCTCCCCAGATGCAGTACCCTACATTTGCCCTTGTTGAATTTCATAAGGTTTCACTCTGCTTAGCTCTCCAGCCTGTCTAGGGCATGCTGTATGGCAGCACAGCCTTCTGGCATGTCAGCCACTCCTCCCAGTTTTGTGTCATTTCGCCTTTCATGCAGTGAAATAAAATGCCAGACCCCAGAGGTCAGAATGGACAATTGATCTGGCACCTGTTGGAGTGAGCACATAGAGGCATGAGGGCCAGTTAAATGAGCCTGGCTTTGATTTATGAGTCGCTTCTGACACATATTAGGCATCAATTACATACCACTGCAGAAGCAACACGGCAGATTTTGATTGGGTTTCCGCGACCAGAGAGCTCCAGTTCTGCCTTGTCCATCAGGAACAGGCAAGCATCCAGAATGTTTTCTTCAAACTAGATAAAAGAATATAAAAATGGAAACAGAGGGGAAATTGAGTTACTTTTTATTCTGGAAAGCAAAGGAAAAGTTTGTTTACATTGTTGTTGTAATAACTGATCAGCATCAAAATTATCTGGTCAAGTCAAAGTTCTGTGTTTAAAAATACAAGTTTTCTTCTAGAATAATCACCCATGTATAGCAAAAAATGTGAGAGGCTGTGAGGAAAAAGAGTGTGTCATTTTCAATTCAATCTCAGTCCAGTTTCCAGAAGGTTAAAATGACAACACAACCTTTCTGACAGGACATAAAATTTTAAGTGCTAACAAGTATATAATAGGAAGATATTATAATAATAACTACAAGAAGCTAGTCTGCTCGTGAAGGACTTCATGTCCTTCACAGATTCCAGACCTGTTAATTTCAGGACTTCTCTGACACAGCCAAAGCAATGCTGGGAAGTTGAACAATAAATGGTTTGCCAAAGTTAATTTGAAGACACTTACATTTTAAAATTAATTTTTAAATGTGTTTAAAATTGACAAGCCAAAACCTGATTATATGGATTAGTCCTGGTCTGTGAAATTTAGACATAAAAAATACCAAGTGACCTGAAGTAGTCTTCTTCAAAAATAGAGTGAAAAGGTACAGTTTCTTCGATCCAGCATGAACAAGCACAAGAATGAATTGAGGGCAGAGGTGCCTAAATAGACCAGAAACCATTTGTCACAGAACTTGCCCTGTGCTGTATTTCATTTTCCTTAGGAGAAACTGCATAGCAAAGGAAAATAGCACTGTCCTCTGGAAAAAGGCAGGAGACAGTGAAATGCACATTAATAAAACAAACTCCTCCTAGATTCACTGAAAACGCAATCTTATATTAATATTCAAGGCTATGACAGAAACTCCACAGAGCCGTGGAGCCCCTTGCCGTGTTAGGCTTTATGTTCTACGTTTGCATCATTAAAGATATGATTCAGGCTAACAGGATTTTTGCTCTCATGATGCAACTAGAGCTGAATTGGTTTTGTAACTGTCTGCAGCCTGGCTTAGGGCTCCGTGGCAGATCAGGACAATCTGAGTTTTGCCTCCTGAAGAAAGTGAGCAAGAGCCCAGACCAAGTTGCTCCTTCAGCAGCCCAGGGAGAGGCAGAGGAGAGGGAACAGTGAAACCAGAGAGCTGAAAAGGAAGCCCTGAAGACCCAAGACTGCTGCCAATGCTGCAGGGAAGATGGGAGGAATGGCGGTGAAATCCCAGGGAGCCCACGTTCCCTTTGGCCTCTCCCTTACAGGCAGCAGCTGAGCTCTGGCGTAAGACAAGAAAGCAGAGGCACCACAGTGTTTCATCATCATCCACACTTGCACTGAATTACTTCCTCTGGAGCAGATGCTTACTAGCAAGTAACACCTTATAGTCTGAGCAAAACCAAATTCATGGTGTTTGGGCAAGTAGGGAA